CCCTCCCCCACCCCTGGCCTGCCCCCGCTCTCGCCCTCGCCACACAGCCACACACCTGCGTCGAACGCCCCTCCACCTCTAGCATTCCCCCACGTCGTTTGGAGATCGAAGACCGTCCCCATGCAGGACGACCACCCCGGCTGATTGACCTTCCACATGAATCTGCGTGTCACTTGCCGTCGCCGCCATCTTCATCCACCCGAGAACCGCTGATGATCTAGTCGTGTTTTGTGGGTTCAGTGGCATTCTTTAGGGCGGTGTTATGATCGCACACCAAACCGCAATCAACCCATTCTGGGATGCAATGCGGGTACTCCCAAGCGCGAGGTAGGGCTTTCCAAGGCGATGTAACACAAGGTTGGTGGTGTCGATGATGTGTCGCCTCGAGTTGAAGATGTGCGACCCCGCCGTTATGAGAGTGAGTTTCAGAGTCATTGATGCATACAATCCCGCCTCATAGTCGGAACGATCGTCATCGCCACCCATGCGCATGATCCACATGCACGCGCTCAACAAAACCCTCAGACAATCCGCAAGCTGCGTTAACCTCTCTTGTTTCAAACGACCATCGTCTGCCCATTGTCTGCACCAAAGCACATCTATCTAACACTCCACCACATGAAGAACTGTCCCCTCCTATTGCACCGCCATGTTATCATCTTCAGGTCTATCCCTAATATTCACTCCCGCGAACCACAGAGGCACGTCCATCTTCATCTACAACGTGTAGTAAATGAAGGTTAGGGAAACCAGTCTCGACCATTCCAACCCCTGTCAAACAGCTCGTGCGATGTTGATAGTGTAGTCGACGGTGATGTATGACTCTGCACGAGCGAAACCATTCGACCTCGGCAACAATTTGAAGATCCACCTGTGGATGGTGCACATTACCAGTTCTCCACGACGCGCGCTCTATGCAAAGGTGGTTCACGTTGCGCAGGGTCGTCGATCTTGAAGAGTGGCACATCGTTCGGTGGCATTATGACCATGGACTGTGGTTCAGCTCCTACGTCTCTGTTGACGATGGCGATGAAGTAGTCGACGCAGTTGCCAACCGCCTCCCTCAACGGTTCAGACCCCAAAAAGCATCGTAATCAACTCACAACTTTGACCTCTCCTCCAGATTAAACTCCTCTGCAGTTCTCTTCCGCCAGCTTGCAACAGGTCGATCGTTGTCATCATCGCCTTCCCGCTGTCCATCTCTTCTACCATCACGGCGCACGTCATCGACCCCGCCCTTTACCACACCTTCTGCGACTCTGCTTGCAGAAGTGTGATGATCTCCCATCGTCGTCCGACTGCATACTGCATCCACTTTCTTTTGCAAGGGAGGTGTTATCACCACGCTTGAACCCCCCGCCCGTTGCGCGGGGTGTTCATGACGTGAGTGGACTGTCCCGATCACTGCCTTGTTAACTCGGCCGCCCCCAGCGACCGGGACGATCGTTGCACGAACGCGGCTTGTCGTCACCTCATCCGCCCCCATGGCTTGCCTCTGCACGAGCGCCTTGGTAATGACAAGCCCTTGCGCCTTGTGTGTCCTAGGCCATGCTCTGGCGGCAGCACCAATGGCGACTTGTCTCGTAGCAGCCAGTTGATCCCTCAACACCCCGTTCTGCCCAAAACCCAATTGCTGGCTCCCTGGCGTCCCTTGCGTGTCCACCACCGCCACTTCTTCTGACTGGAAGTCGTCATCGTTCTCTGAGCTTGCCTCGTCAACTTGCAGCCTTTTCGACTTGGGCATGTGGCCTCGACCGTTTTGACCTTCCCCCCCCTCCCCAGGACAACTATCTCTCCTGCCCTTTCCTTCTGCGCCCCACGGTGCCATGTGGATACAGTTACAGTCCCCCTGCCACGTGGCCGATGGAGGCGTGCTGCAGTGCGAAGCGAACGTGCACGAAGGGCACATGAACGTCAACATTTGACAACCAGCAGAAAGGTAGGACGTGGACAGCGGGTATGACGGGACACTGGCCGCAGAGGAGGTTCGACGACGGCGACTAGAAAGGTCCACCGGAAAGCGAGAGTTGACGACATGGAGGCACGGAGCGTCGAACGGGATGAAGAGGCGTACGGCGAGAGGGCAGTGCACACGAGGCACCTCTGGAGTCGTGGCAATGGAAGGACTGCAGTACGGAATGACGCCCTGACTTTCCTTTTGTACCGTGCGCAGTCTCTCAACAAAGTCAGCACACCATGAATGCGCCTCGCCGTACCTGAAGCCCGCCCCTTCGTCGATCGTGTGCAGACCATTTTTCCCCGCTCAATTGATGTCATCCTTGCATTGGTCTGACATAATTCACATTTATTGTCGGCAAGCAGGAGGACCCCCCCGGAGCTCGAAAGGGCCTGCCACCCACCCCTGCACCGCCACCCCAGAAAACACCCAGCACCCATGTC